CAATCCAATTGAGCACTATGTTCTCTTTCGCCTCCAGTCGATTCTCCCAGCAAGGCAGTCGCAATCAAAAATGGAATTATTTTCGATATATATGTATAGCTATTCCCCAACGAACCGCTTGTGTCTATGGAATACAGTCATTCGTTTCTTGTGAGAACTTCTGAGCTACGTGGCGTAACAAATTCACAAATTACATTTTTTTTTCTAGCAATTTACGTGTTTTAGCAATGTTGCTATCATCAACGAACCTATGATTAAGTTATTACCATGGGATATTGTAAAATATGTGAAGGAACAGGAAAACTGCACTACCTTAAACGGTCTAGAGACTCTGCACTTTTAATATCAACTGATAAGTATTCTATACTTTAATTAATAACTAAGACGAATCCAACAATCCAGTCTAAAAAAATCACAATATTATCTCTAGGAATACCAGCAAATTTATTCGAATCTGAAACTGTGCCGGGAATGGTGATTTAAATCATGCTCAGTAAGTTTTTCAGATTTCACGGATTTCTATTCAGTTGTAAGCCTTGTAATGAATTGCAATTGATTCCTTTACTAATTCACTCTTTAATAATGCCGATAAGCAACTCTTTTTATTTTTGTACATAACCAGAAGTAAGCGCTCTTACAGGCAATCATTATAATCTGGATTCTGTTTGTTTTGAATAACGTGCATATATCTGCCTCTTACGATAAACATTGAAACATTCCTTTTAGCATATTCTTTTATGTGCCTCACCAAGTAGTCTACGTCATAGCGAAAATACCAATTTAGCAAGAACATAACAAGATGCCTAGCTTGGGCTTTATTTGGCACAGCTTTTGCTCTGTCCTTGTCCTCCATGGGGGAGTCTGCATACGGACATACTATATGTATGTATGTGTGTATGTATTTATGTGCCAGGCGCTGTATGGTACTTGAGCTAGGTCAGTTTTGGCGCCATGGGAAATTGTTATCCTTATTACGCACTTAAATGCATGGTCGTGTGTGTCCTGCGGTCAGCAAATTATACACCATGGTATTTTATTTTTATTACGATATTTCTTCCTAAGCCTCAACCTCAGCGCTGTGTGCCTGTGTGTGCGTGTGTGTGTGTGTGTGTGTGTGTGTGTATCACAAATACTTCTACATATGAACATGCCATTTACACATACTTGGAGACAGCAGACGCTGGTGTTGGAAGTACGCCGTTGACGGCAACATCTTTAAATATTTAACGGAGCAGGCGGCATGTATGTACTTGTATGTATAAGTGCATCTTTGAATACTATATGGTATACAACTTTATATCCATGCACATATGCATCCAAATGTAAGTACAGCATATGGTAGAAGGAATCGGGTAGATAGGACTTAACGCACCACCTATTTCTGAATTTTGACATCTAAACTGAGTATAGTTGGTAGCATTACATGAAAGAGGAGGAAATGCTTGTAATTTTTTTATTCAAGAGCAAAAAAAGAAAAAACAATGAAGATTATTTCCCAACCGGGTTGTAAATCAAATTGAAATGGATTGAATTGAAATGGACCAAGTAATCCATCTCAGAAATATGATTCTCCCTCTATGTATTTTTTAAGGCAAACACAATATGTACATATCGCAAAAAAAAAAGGCCTACATATGTACGTAAAATATTCGTATGCGCTTTAATGTCACTTTGTCGGTTGTTACGTTTTTGCCAAATAATTTCAATATCAAATCCTAGGAATTTTATTTCTGCAGAATTGCTGCGTCTTAATTATTTGCTTGCGATGCTCGCGCATGCACACTCAGCACACACACACACACACTCAGCACACACACACACACATGCACGTCAAAATTTATCAGAAAATGTTGAGCGTTTGTCTTTCTGTTCACGTGCGGAGCAGGTATGTACGAGTACATGTGTCTGTGTGCCTTTGACATATTATTAGAAGATTTTATAATATAATATAGTATTATGTATACGCCATGTTTACAAGACAACCTTGACGGGCTGGCTGCCTGGTTGCTTAAGTGTGCGTGTGCGTGTGTGTCTGTGTGTGTGTGTGTGTGTGTACGCGTTGGTGTGACGGACGAATGGGAGCAACCCGCAATCAAAGGCGGCAGCAACTGGCAGCGGCTTACATAAGCCACAAGCAAAAGGAAAGATAATAAAACTCTAAGAGCGACCCGAGTTGAAAGAAATTATGAAATATAAACAGACATACATACATACATACATGCCTACATATATACATACATACATACTTATGTATGTATATGTATATATGCATTAGTGTATGGGTGTGTGCCTTTTTGACTTTTGTACATGTCCGTTTGAGTTAATATTACAATGCCCTTATGGTTTATTTTGCTTCATATTTTCTTTTCATGTTTTCTGCCTTATTTTATTTCGCTAGTCTTTTGTTGGTGCGCTACAATCGCTTTGCCTTTGCCTTTCTCTTCCTTTTGCTTTTCTGCTCTCTCCTGTTCTGATTGCGATATTTATTGTATGCCTCCTTGCATTGTTCATGTTGACATTGCTGCGAGTGTTTTGCTCTTGCTTTTGTCGCTCTTGCTCGCTTCTTGCTGTTAATGTTGTTGCTGCCTTTTGTTCTTTTCTCATTTCAATACCCTTTGCTGAACAGTGTGAGGGTTTTTGTTTTTGTTGTGCAGGTTTGTAACACCCCGAAGGAGGGCTGTAGATCACATCTTATAGATGCATTCACGATCAACATTACGAGACGAACCCAAATCCTATCTATGTTTGTTTCAATCACTAATCCTCCCACAACGGCGATGAAGCTTTGTGCGGATGTTTATTTTTGAAGAAAACAGATAGTATGTGAAGACCTACTAGTGGTTAATAAATCCTAGCGTGGCTATAACGATGCCAGGGCTTTTAAATAAGTACAAATCAGTGAAGGGTATATAGATTCGGCAAAGTCGAAATTCACATTTTTGGTTGTTTTTTTTTGTTTTTGTGTTCTACATTAAACATTTATACAAATGTAAAACGAAAATCCTCAAGACAATCATAAAAAGGGGCACATAAAGCCGACCGTGACAGCAACCAACGAAACCCTAACAAAAAGGACGCCCCCTATGCTCGTATTCCGGTTCTTTCCCAACGGTCATAGCAAAGAGCTTAGCACACATATGTACATATGCTCGTATATACATATAGATACATTTATGTATATAAGTAAATAAATATAGCTCAAGCACGACGAGTTGTAAGCTGCTTGCAAATAAAAAAAAAAAAAACATAAAAGTATGTAATTTCATATTGAATCCAATGGTGCGGGTCTTTTTCTTTCGTATTACTCTTCAAATGCTACCACTAAGAGTATTGTGATTTCGACAATTTTAAATTTATTTTCATGTTTGGCTTATATTCACAATTTTGAACGTAAATTGTCAAATGTTGGCACTGGTGGGCGTCACTTGTACGCTGAAACGTATTCTTTCTCTGCGCTGAAGCTGTATACCCTTCTTTACCTCCACTTACAACACAGGGTCCTTGCATAGCTTAACGAGTTATCAGGAATCCCACAATGTGAGTTCGGTCCTTGAGTAGGCACCCGGTTTGAATCACGCCCCAACCACATTGATAATTGTTCAACCAAGGACAGAGTTTAAATAAAGATGAACGATTAACAAAAAAAAAACCAAACTTTCAAAACAAACTATATTCCTCCCATTGGGTTATGTTTCCCTAATGTGTTGAATCTCTTAAATGAAAGTACTATATTTAAGGTCTGTGTCAGGGGCACCTACTCAGCCCCCTGTCAGAGGAGGGCTGGTGTTCCGCAAGGCAGCGTGCTTGGCCCACTGCTCTACTCGCTATATACTGCTGATTTACCTAGACCCAATGAGGAACATATGGAGGACCCCTCGAAGGCTTTAATTGCAACATATGCGGACGACACTACGGTTCTTTATAACTCGAAAAATCACCAAGAAGCAGCAGATGGACTACAGAGCTATCTCAATACACTGCCAGCTTGGTGCACTAGGTGGAATTTAAAGGTCAATCCCATAAAAACCTCTAACCCCTGCTTCACGCTGAAAATGCTAGTTCCCTGCACGCCTCCTATTCAGCTTGAGGGAGTAACCCTATAACAGCCAGCGCAAGCTAAACACCTTGGCATTACCCTAGACAAGCGTCTCACTTTTCGGCCACATCTGAAAGCTACGGTAAAAAAATGTGGCCAAAAGAATGCAACAGTTGCGATGGCTACTAAATAGAAGGAGCACTATGCCACTGTCTATGCCCACTGCATAGCTCCGATATGGCTGTACGGTATTCAAATTTGGGGGATCGCCGCAAAATCTAATTATAAGCGCATCCAGGTCCTGCAAAACCGTGCATTGCGGCAAATTACCAACTGCCCCTGGTACGTGCGCGGCTCGACCCTTCACCGAGACCTAAACCTGTTCACCGTGGAGGAGCAGATTGGAAGGCATTCAAGTAGATACAGTGAGTAGATACAGTGACAGGCTTCTGAGTCACCGCAGTTTGCTTGCAAGAGGACTCCTTCCTGCTAGACCTTTGCCAAGACTGAAACGATTAGGTTTTTTCAAAACATTTAGATAAGCATAAGCCACCACTAACTTATTAATCCTCGCGCGGAAGTGCGGTTGGGCTATTTTATATTTGTAAAAATGTATTGTTAAGGTGCTAATCTGAATGCACGGCTTCAATGGTTTGATTAAACAAAAAAAAAAATAAATAAATAAAAAAAATAAAAAAAAAATAAAAAAAAATATATATTCCTCCCATTGGGTTATGTTTGTCGAATGTGTTGAATCTCTAAAATGAAAGTACTATATTTGATATACTTATTTCGTATATTTTTTTATCCATGGTCCCCATTTGTAACCCTCAAATGCATATGACAGCAACGTTCGCAACAAATGGCTCCAATGTCTGTATAAACAATAAGGTTGTTTATGCAAAGGTTCCATTTAAATTATATCCTTTCAAGAAAACTTCTATAGTGTTTCTTTTTCACTTACCGTTTTATTTATACGCGTAAAATATATCTGAAGACCTGTGAGAAAAAGAAAAAAAAGGAAACATGTTATATAAAATCGTATATAGCATAAGTATGTACACAAGTTTAATGATGACACTTTAAATTTGTTACATAGTGTTCTTTTTATTTTATTAGGAGATAGCTTTGACTTTTTACGATTATGCCTATCTTTGCTATTTCTCACAATGCATTTTGGCTAATTTATAGAAATAGTGTGTGTTGGACTATTGTATAAAGAAAAATGTAACCTATAGGAACCGTTGTGTTATTAATAATATTCTAGAAATCAATGAACGCCTAAGAAATGATAAAGGTTCAACAAATGTTCAGTTTTCTGAACAACTTGTTTGCCTTACTAGATCGTTGTAGATCGTGCTAAGCCATGCTTTTTAATTAGTTCACACTTCATAATGATGACGCTTAACTAACTTAAATTGAAATCTAGTTTATGTTCTCAAATTTCTAAATTTTCCAATTTGTGTACAATCCCATCAGCACGAAAACGCGGGAAAAGCAACCATAGAAACAAATGGGTAACAAGGGCTCGAAAATTGGGGCATATGCGCGAAATGATCGTTGGCTACAGATCAACACTCTGGACATGCTTCGCGCTTCCAATGAGATGCAACAAATGACCAAGAAACTTCACAGTGTGAGTAAAGACTATGGTGAGCTCTGCATGTGTTGGCGACAAGCGCTTTCCCGAGCAATGGAGCACTTGAAGCATGGACGCTTGAGCTCGGTAAAAATGGTAAAGGCAACGACGGGCGTGCCGTCGGATACACATATGGCAACCACTGACCAATGCCTCAACGAGGTTGGGACTAACATTGGTCTCAATCTGAAGCAACCATTGAAGCTAAGATGCTGTAAATGCTGGTTTCCTCTTGTAAGTAAACATCGACATATGACTGCGTTGGAATGAGCTCAAAAACATTCATAGGTGTCACAGTTAGAAGAAATCCCTTGTACAGCGGAGAGTAGTACGAAACACCCTAATAATGCTCCTCTTGGGGCATGCAAGAACGGTAAACATGAGGGCGCGCTGGAGAGGGATGTATCTATAACGTGGGAACCAAGCTGGACCTTTCAATCATCTATAACAAATACTGAGGTAAATGTGAATGCGATTGTCCTTCATACGTACACACTCGTATGTAGGTTCTAGGGTTTCAGATAAAATCGGACACTTGCATCGCAAAGTTTAATATATTTTAGCATTCTCAAAGGTCGATTGAAAAGTTTATCCGAGCCAAAAAATGAAATGACCATTTTCTTGTGCTTATTTTTAACAACTTGACCTTTATTTAATACAAAGTACAAAGGTAGCTCGTGAAATAAATCATGGACGTCCAAAAATGGTTGCTATGTCAGAAATGATCTCTGGGCATTTCAGAGAGTAGCACACTTCTCATATAAAATGAACATTTGGGCATAAAAATAAATTGTGTAGTTGATACCCATTGATGCTATAAAATAATATTGAAAACATTACCAGAAAGCCATACAGCTTACAGGTCCTCTAATACGAGCTAAAGGCAAAAAAAAAATAAAAAATAAAACAAGTAAAAAAGCTAAAGTCGGGTGTCCCGACTTTGAAATACTCTGTACATATGTTTACAATAATTATAGAGTATAAAAAAATTAAGAAAATTAAAAAAAAAATTTTGATCGATTTTACCTTTCTCGGTGTGAGTGTGAGTGTATGTATGTTTATGCTCGTATATTCGTGTCTGTGTAAACATGTTCGCAGTCAACCAAACAGCAACATCAACAACAGCCGCAAGCAGCGCTGCAGCAGCAAATATATTTATGGCTATAACTTCTTGTTAAATCGGTCTATCATAGTGAAACTTGGCATACGGACACATAATAACTAACTGGGGGCATTTGCAAAATTTTAGTTCGAAATTCCAAGAAATTTGCGGAGGAGAGGGGGGAGGGAGGGAAATTCCAAAATATACATTTTCTGCGTATTCACACAAGGCATCTTGGTGTTCCCAGGTCTTATAGTCTCCGAGATATAGGCGATTATACGAATGGAAAATCGGGAAAACCCCCATAGGGGGGAAGTGGGGGGGAAAATCAAAAAAATAAAACAAACTCGTATAGAATACACACATAACGCATCTTTGTGCAAAATTTGGTGTCTCTATCTCTTATAGTCTCTGAGATCCAGGTGTTCATACGGACGGACAGACGGACAGACAGACAGACAGGGCTAGATCGACTCGTCTCGTCATGCTGATCAAGAATATATATACTTTGTGGGGTCTGCCACGCCGCCTTCTGCCTGTTACATTTTTCAGCTCCCGAAAACCTAATACACTTCTGTACATTTCATGTACAAAATATAAAAATTGATTGAGGTCATGCCGCGATTGTACCTTTTAAATAAAAGAAAAAAAACATGTTGGCACTTGTTTGTCAGAAGTTTTTGAAGATCCGACCAATTCCAAATTGCGCCAAAGACGAAACACAATAATATCTCAATTTCTTTGTTATCTGTTTCTGAACAGAGGCTGACAGCCTGTAAATAAGATATTAGGTGATTTCTCTATTGTCCGAATTTTAAGCGGTTTTGTTGTAGACCCAGTACCCAATAGGTAATAGGCATATGGAGCTCTAGCAGGTACATCAGTATGATACGCGAATCGATATAAACATTCATTATAAAAAATCGTACTTAGTAGAATACATTTTGTGTTTTTTAGGATATCGTAAGAAAATCTTGTATTAAATGATTGTCTTGCGAGCGATTGGTGAAGAGATTACTCTCAGTATCGAAAAGTGATTTGTTTATTAAGATTTCGTACCGAAATTTGGTATTCATACGTGTTTTCTGGTGCCATCGGAGCATTCGGCATATCTTTTAATTGGTTCCACTCATTTTTGTTTTCTTATGAGTTATTTTCTTTAAGTTTTTTGTTCATTTTATGTTCTACTGTTCAATACTGCAGTGCCAGAAGTCTCTTTCGAGTATAGGAAAGCAGTTGGTCGATTGTGTCGCTAGAATGCAAACGACAGTGGATGATGACAACCCGACGTATACTTCGAAAGAGACACGTCGACCCAGTTCCTTTGATGTAAGTTAGGCCGTTTGGACAACCTGGTCTTAATTCTTTGCCATCATCGAAGTTTTACCCACAGAAAGCTTTAAGTTATCGATGCTTTCTTAAATCCCTAAGACAATATGAAGAAATGCTTTCATTTATGTACCGACGTACGCATTTGGTGGAACAGGCGTGTGATATATCCTACCTGATGTTTATTGTACATGATCTTATTGAGGAATGCGAAAAGACTTTCTCTGAGGACGCTCTTACTCAGAGGAGTGAGAAGTATGTGGTCTCGGAACTGTTCGGAGCCTCCGCTAGGCAGGATGGATGGGACGACATATTTTCGTCAGCAGTCAATGAGACTAACATGCACAAAATATCTAGTGAAAACTTCATTGACGACTCAGTTCCGGGAAGTTGTACGGCCGATGAAAAGCCAGACATTGCCGACAATGAAGAAGAACCTGACTTCGAGAAAACCACAGACCTACCATCTGAAGCAGGTGTTAAGGGCGTGCCATTCGTAAATGTGGATATTGAACCGAACGCAGCTGATACAGCAAGGTGGACGACGAGCTTAAAAGGCTTTGCAAAGTTTGCCGCCAGTGCTGTCAAAAAAAATACCAACATATTGCGGAAATTTCAATACTTCAGTCTTTACTCAGGGCAAGAGAAGTCCAACCAAGAGCCTTTAAATTCGGTTGAAGGTGCGGAAGAGAGTGATGACCAGCCCGATGCAAATATCAACTCCGCGAGGGACTGTTGTTCGTTAAGACCCATAATGACTGAACCAACCGTGGTAAGTGGGACTCCAAAAAATATGTAGTATAAATGTTTCATAACTTCATCTTTGCAATAATAATATTGTAGATGCGTTGGCCACGAAGCTCGCGCCTTGAAACAGCGTTGGAGACTGCCCGTCATGTAACCGCCATATTGTTCCTCTTTTGTCTATTGCTCGTCAACATATTTTTTGAAGAAGAACGCTGTGTGGATATGCGCAATTGCATGCGCAATAGACGATGATTTTTTTATGTTAAGAGTCGGGTCAACAGATTTCAATATGAAAAATTTATCACTATTTTGCACTATGCCAGTCCATGATTGTGCCTACACGCGTACGCGCACGAATATCAAATTTAAGTTCATTCAAATTGTCACATCTTTAGACGGACATTTAACCATAACATCTCGAACATAAGGAAAGTATCAATTGTAAAGTAACACATGTACTCTATACGTGTATGTATTTATAAGTCACAAGAAAATAAAAAATTTCTATCGCATAAAATATTAAGAGTGTTTTCTCCCATCACTTGCATTATTCAATATCCTATATTCTCTTTTTCAAATCCAAAGCGAAAATTCAGGTATAAGCTCGTTACGAATACTTTGTTTCACAACTTCAAACCAAAATACTCCAACATCTTTTATGGACTCCAATTGCCATGCTGAAATAGAACGGTGACGCTATTGACTATTATGCTTTTACTGCACTTGTACGTCACAAGCTCAAATTATTAAAGAGTCTTTATGTTAAGACATAAACTATATATTTTGAATTTAAACGTAATGAAATTAATTTTAATTCTAACTTTTAACGGCCTTGTGTAATTCGCATCATTATTATTTTTTCGTGAACGTAAGTAATAACATTCTCAGCGTTCTCAGCTCTTATTTATGTTTGTAGTTTTGTGTACATAACTAACATAAAGAAATATTTGGATCATAGCAAAAATAAAAAAACAGTAGAAAGTATGTCTCCTATGTACATGCATGAGTATTTTGTGTGTTTATTTTTAGATATTAATGCTGTGAAATGGAGCTGAGAATCCGAAACTCTCTCAGCTTTTGTCAATTTTTGTTTATCATTGTTGAACGTGTTGAATTTTTGTACCTTTTTCATGATTATGTTTATTTAACATTTACACAATTTGCACCAAAAAATACATTATAATGTTAGTTCAGAGCATTTTCATCTTTGTATGCATTTGCATAACTTTTGTTATTTGTTATTTGAGTTTTGTAGACATGAAAAATCATGTTTGCTTAAATGTAAATATAATATTATATTCGGCATAAATGTATCCAGTTTGTGTTTTTCTTGCAATATTTTTTAGTAAGAGCTTATTAAAATTCTGTGCCAATGATATAGAGTTAGAAACTCCAATTACATTTTCCCCAAAGTTTAAGAGTGAAGTAATGAATAAGTCTACTGAAATGCACAACTCCAGTGCCAATTGTGGCAAATAGGGAGCGGAAACGGTAGCAGCAACGCGTCAGCCACCGCAGAGGCGGTAATAATAACAACAATAGCAACAACAACAATGACGACAATAAGACGTGCAGACATAAATTCATTTATATGCGCAATTACGGCAATTATTGGTCGCTCATGGTGTGCCCTTCAGCAGGGTTACATCTCGGGTTGGCGATTGCACGTCAGAAAACCGCTGCGCAAATAAAATAGAAATATATCAATTAAGCGAAATAAAATCCATTTATTTATTTAGTAGTGGTCTCTGCTTGACGCCGCGACACGAGAGGGCGAGCAGGGCGAGCAGGGGAAGCGACAAATGCACTGTTCAGACACGCCATGCCACTATAGTATGTGCATGTATTTACATAGGTGTGCATGTATTTATTTATGCGCCGTTGTGTTGGCTTAATAAATATGATTATATAATGTTTTTCTATTTTGTTTTTTGCGTTCAATTGTTTACATTGTTCGTGCACATAATGCGGTGATTAGTTTTGTTTTTTAATAGCTTCAAGCGCTGCATACTTTTAGGGTGCCATATAATAAGCCTAAATTAGTACTTACATACACATGTATGTACACATGTATGTACATCTGTGGTATAGACGCTTTAATTTGTAGATCGTGGGCGACCAACGCGAAGACGAAACGCTTATTTAATTTACGCCCAGCTTAACCAATTAAATGTTAATGCCGAACATTAAAAATAAAGCCAGCTCCAGCAGCAGCAACGGAACAAGAACAACACTAAAATAAAAGAAACAACAAAAACAACTCTGCATTCAAATGGTAGTGGAGAAACAAAGCAAATAACCCAACAACATATGAATATTGTGAATAAATGCAGCGTCTGTGTTTTCTGCATTTGCCCCTCATAATTGAAATGATGAGCGCTAATAACAATGAATGCAATGCAGACAATGGATCTGCTGGACTCTGAGCGCACACAGATGATGGCTCGGATGATGGTTCGGATTATGGTTCGGATGATGGTTCGGATGATGGTTCGGATGATGGTTCGGATGATGGTTCGACGTACAGCAGAGCGTAAGCAGCAAACTGACGACTGACGACTGACTACTGATGGCTGAGGAGTCACCGCGTCGACAAAAAGTTTCCCGGGCCGCCGAAACTGTGCCAATCAAACAGTCAGCGGTTGTCAATTAAACTTAATTATCTTGTACATACAAGCACAAGAAGTTGTCTGCCGGCTGGGTGTCGTCTGGCTTGCAGCAGAAACTCGGCAAGGGCCGTGCACCATCAATAACGAGCAATACGAACCACAACATCGCATTTAAAATTATGTTCATGTATCATGTTTGTGTGCGAGTATATTTAATATTCGGATGTGTGTGTGCAACAAACACAAAAAAATTGAACAAAAATGCAAAGTAGGGGTGCTGAAAAGTCGAGTCCTTGTATGTGTTTCTTTGTATCACGCTCTTTATTCTCCATTCTTTTATAGATATTAGTTTGAACATCTATGTGTTTGATTTGTTCTTATATGCAGAGAGTCTCAGCCTTTATCAATGATGTCCTGATGTCCTGATCAGCGTGACGTGGGAAATACATTTAGACATGTCCGTCCAATTGTATGAATGACTGAACTTTGGAAAGGATGCGCCCACATTATGGCACGCATAGAAAGAGCACAAAGGCATTCGTCTCCTCCTCTTTAATATAAAAATAATTGTTTTGGTCCCGCTCTACTGTTGAAAGTCAATACAAACATACTATGTACCAATGCATGCATAATAATATAAGCAGATAATAATCTTATATTATCTACAAGACATCTGTCACTGTTGCATGCCAATGTAAGCATAAAGAATATGTAATACTAGCAGTCCCAAATAAAACTCTAAAGCGAACAGACGCACGGCGAATATTTAATCTATTCAATATCTACTTCACATTCCATTCTTCTTGTTATATATATACAGTGTTTTATATATAACCAAAGGTATTTATTTAAAAACTAATGCTGTAGTTTCGCAGCTTATTTATTCTTATGGAAGAAAACGAATAATTATTAAATTAAGATGTATCTTTGCAAAGATATAAACGAAACACCAAATTCCTTCCATGACAAAAATGTACGTACGATTTCACTTGACACTTTTTTCTTCGAGCATTGCATCGCCAATAAAACGATACGCTCTCGGTTGTTCAGGCTCTTGATTTTGTTTGGTTCTAGAAATGATTCGCATCTTTCAGAAGCTTTTTGAGAACTTGCAACAGAATTTCGGGCACAGCAATGGCTTGCCAAAAAGAAATCTCCACCGATTATATATATATATATATATATATATATATATATATATATATATATATATATATATATATATATATATATATATATATATATATATATATATATATATATATATATATATATATATAGATTTTTATACTCTGTACATGAAATGTACAGAAGTATATTAGGTTTGCGGGAGCTGAAAAATGTAACAGGCAGAAGGAGGCGTGGCAGACCCCACAAAGTATATATATTCTTGATCAGCATGACGAGACGAGTCGATCTAGCCCTGTCTGTCTGTCCGTCTGTCCGTCTGTCCGTCCGTATGAACACCTGGATCTCAGAGACTATAAGAGATAGAGACACCAAATTTTGCACAAAGATGCGTTATGTGTGTATTCTATACGATTTTGTTTTATTTTTTTGATTTTCCCCCCACTTCCCCCCTATGGGGGTTTTCCCGATTTTCCATTCGTATAATCGCCTATATCTCGAAGACTATAAGACCTAGGAACACCAAATTTTAGTCCCAGATGCCTTGTGAGAATACGCAGAAAATGTATATTTTGGAATTTCCCTCCCTTCTCCCTCTACCCCACAAATCGTAACTCCCGTAATTCTTGGAAATACCCCCAGTTGGTTATTATATGTCCGTATACCAAGTTTCACTATGATAGACCGATTTACCAAGAAGTTATAGCCATAAATATATTTGCTGCTGCAGCGCTGCTCAAGCGCTGCCCGCGGCTGTTGATGTTGCTGTTTGGTTGACTGCACACATGTTTACACAGACACGAATAGATGCGCATAGGCATACATACACTCACACAGACGCAACTGCTATGTAAATGTGCAATTATAAACCCTTTACGTGAGTTCGAATACCGAGAGAGGTAAAATCGATCAAATTTTTTTTTTTATTTTCTTAATTTTTTTTATTTTCTATAATTATTGTAAACATATGTACAGAGTATTTCAAAGTCGGGACACCCGACTTTAGCTTTTTTACTTGTTCTTTGTTGTGTTTGTGGGTATGGGAACAGGATTTTTAAGAATTGGGGCTCTATCATTTCATTCAAGTTTTTGCATACAACTATCATTTCTGAAATGTATGCGGAACATTTGTTTGCATTTCATGGTAAGTTGGATATAAGAGCTATTTACCAAGGTATTGAATAATAATTAATAACAATAAAAAGCAACGATGCATTACCGATGATAGCAAATTAGACGATTTTGCGATAGATGATAGTAACAAAAGCTAACGAATATGTTGTCTGCAAGTATGTTGATTGGCGTGGACTTTTTGTTAAAATGTAAAAAATTAAAAATTGACACTAAGAACCGATCCTTGGAGTCCTTCGGTCAGGTCTAGATAGGATTTTTATACCCTGTACCAAATAGGTGAAAGGGTATACTGGTTTTGTGTGAATGTATTTAACACACAGAAGAAGGCATGATCAGCATGACAAGGCGAGTCGATGTGGGCATGTCCGCCTGTCTGCCTGTCCGTCTGTCTGTCCGCCTGTCCGTATGCACGTAGAACAACCAAATCTATTTATTAATTTTTTCTTTTATTGCAGTGTGTTTAAGAGTTGAGCTCGCTCGAATCTAGCATTCCTTTCTTGTTTTTATTGCGTGATCAAAATTAGTTAATCTTTAAGATGCTCATCCGCCACACTCGTTTCACAAATTCGTTGCGCGCACTAGTCAGGGTCCGGTCGTTGGGAGAACGGGGCGTATGCGTGTTACAGAAATATACTTATGTATAAATGGTTACTCATCA